ATGATTCATTTTTCCATGTTTAACTCATGGCTGCTCCCACACGTTTTACTGAATTGAGGTGTGCGCCTTAAGAGACGGTAAACACATCCAGCCATTTGCAAACTTATAAATGAAGATGTAAATTCTTTTTTTTCAATCGATGTCTTCATTGGCGTTGCCTCCCTGACAGGCCCTCGGCCCCAAAGGGGCGATTTTTTTTTTTTTTTTTTTACAAATAAGGAAATAGGATTACACGTTCTGGGGTTAAAGTTTACCTTCGCATGTTACTAAAAAGGGCAGCAGCCGTAGGGCACGAGTAGAGGAAGTTTTTAATCAAACATGTGATCAAACATATCAAATCTCAACACACACCATTACAACTTTGAATTATCTCTCTTTTTTTATTCAAATCAACGGTATGTGCGGTCTTCCCAAGGCCGTAGCCCCATTTCATCGAAATAAATCGCCATTAATGGTTCTTCTCTACGTTCTCTACTTTAGTGAGCAATAATTACAACTTATTCGATGGTTTCACGTATAATACGCGTGAATATTTTCCAATCCCCGTATAGGGCGAGGGAAAACAGAAACTGTCCGAATTTTTTGCCTGTTCTTAAGCGTAATACCGTAGCATATCTTGCACGTTCTGTTGCCCTAATGCGATAAACTGCTAGTTTCCTTTCAGCAATGTTACGGTCACCTGACCATGCCCATCTGAGTTGTAACAACATTCATTCTGCTGATCTCTTCCCGAGTTAAACGATCCACCTCCACCCCCACAGGAATCGCTTACACCAGCCCCACTGCTTCCTCCAGAGTACCCCCCTCCACCGCCTGCACCCCCTTTATAGTGTGTACCTCCACCACCGCCACCAAAGCCGCCAAACATAATAGGCATTGCGGCCCTGCCCCCTTTCCCTCCGTTGAGAAAAGCCTTACCACCTTCGCTGCCATTTCCTAATACTCCTCCATATTCCATTCCACTCCTTCCATCTGAGTAAAAACCTCCGCCACCGCCACCTGAACATCAAATAATACATATCAGTCATATAGGTATAGATAGTCAAATAAGTTCGGATTCAATTTGGTGTAAATAATCACGGTTTCAGAATAACAACAGCTAAAGTGAACTGTTCAGTTGGAACCATCCTCGAATAAAATTCTA